TTTCTGCATTATAAACTTCTGCTGAGGTACCTAGAGGTATAGTTCCACCGGCTATCTCGTGTGACGCGCCACGTCGTATCGAATATCTTGCTCCTGCTCGGTTCTCGATTAATGTACCATCGGAGAAAATAGAGAGGTCCAACATTGATTGCAAAACAAACCAACCGGAGAAGGCATCAACTCCAGCATTGTGATCGACTGCCCCGTTATTTTCCAAACATGTATCCCGGTGAACTTTCCAGGGTGGGGGAATAGTATCTTCTGAGAGTTCTGGAGAAATTCTTTGTCGGATCCACAACATTCTTGCCGAGTTCCATTTTCTACAAAGGGGGTGCCTAGGACCTGCCGAGGCTATGCGGACGGCTAGACAAACGTGAATACGTTCAACTTAGGCTCGTGCCGGACCCCATTCTGTCTCCCGAAGAAGTAGAGCAACTGGCGTCGTTCGAAATACCGGAAGAGCTGCTCAGGCCACGTCGATCATCTTTTGTTGTATTCTAAGAACAATTCCTTTTGGGGTTCCTTTGGAATACCAAGTCTCAGCACCGTAGAACAAGGTTGTACAAGCCGATCCTTGAAGTGCTTGTCTCAAGAGAAGAGGGCTTATTCCTCGAGTGATTCTTGAGAGACTTTTTATGTGGCTAGTGATAGCCAAGGATCTACCGCATGTTTGTCTTACATGTTCTCTAAATCAAAGGCCTCGGTCGAAGATGACCCCAAACCAGCGAGTTTTTTGTTTTGTTTTGTTCATTTACATGCTAGGTATAGTGATTCCCGTTGAAATCCTATTGGAGCTTACGCACGGGTGGGGCCGAGCCGGATCAGGTTAACCACCGTGAAGTACAAGTGCCTCGTCCCACCTAAATGACCGGACCACCTCAGACTTCACCCATGTGTTGAATCATACCAAGCCCAACCGTCCAGGGAACCCTCTTTTGGCGTGCCGAAGCGCAATTTCCTCCTCAGCCTCGGCCACCACGCGCCCGAGCCCTTGACACCTACGCCATCTGTTACTTTCCCCTTCGAATTATTTCCAGCTTTGGCTCATCTCAGCATCTTCTCATCTCATCCAGGGGTCGTTTTCTTCACTGGAGGCCTCATCCAGTCGCCCACCAAGGACTCCTCAGTTTGTGTTCCCTTTTGGTTCCTCCATGTGGCATCCCTCTATTCTTCAGCCGATATCGTCATCCAAGAAACTTTGTAGAATGTCCATTCCTCCGGCCTTGCCCTGTCGCTGCCGTACCCCTAACCGTGGAGGTCGAGAACGCGACTGAGAGCTCAAGACCGAGGCACCGGTGCCCCAGCCTTTGTCGAATGCTCTAGTTGGTATGCCGATGAAATGTCGTACGTATTTCGTTGGTGGCGATTCGTCGCAGGTCGAGTTATTGGTGCCCTTGGCCGAGGTGAGGACGCATTTAAGGCCGGTATTTCGACCGTATCTTCACAGTGACTGGCAGTTGCGTAGGTTCGGACGTTCTCTTGCTTCTTAGTTGGCGATTTGGCTTTTAGAGGTATGGGATTGCTTAGGTAGATGATGAGATGAATGTGGAGAGGGCCGCAAGATGAGTTTGGCTGAGAATGAATTTCCAGAAAAAGAAAATAAGATCTTGAAGGTGTCAGTTGTTGTAATACGAACATCTGACAGGTTATAGGCTGTCTGCGGTTCGTATCTGGGGTGTAGATGGTTGATTTTGTTGAGCTTTGAAGTCGTGAAATCTCTGCAAGTCGGATTTTCGACCAAAAATGAGCCAACACCACTCCTCCTGATCGCCAACTCGACGAAAGTTCTCAAATCCACCCTTTTTGGTGACTGAATCTCGGCTCTGGGAGAATATTACACTTCCAGGTTCGTAGAGGACACCATGACAGGTGTTCAGCCTTCGTCCTCCCCAAACCAGCGAGTGTTGTCGGTTGGAGTGACCTCTACGTCATTAGCGTATACTCTAGGCTCTGCTTGGAATCTATGCTTTCGGTGGAAGTGTTGCAGCTCAGTTTTGGATACTTCAAAGGTGGTGCCGTTCTTGCGCCCCCATGCAAGGGTTGAGTCTAACTGCTTCTGGAGTAGTTCTGAGCATCGAGTGATAGACGGTGCATACTCTCTAAGTGCCACATTATCTGTGTATCCAAAGCGTTTTGGGGACAGATTTAGGAGGCCTTCAATTGCCAGTAGGAATAGGATTTAAGAGGCGGGAGATCCTTGTGGAAGCCCACAGTGGATTTGAATGTTGGAGATATAGTTCAATCAAGTATGATTAAGGCTTCTCGCTCAGACATAAAAGTGTTAAAGTTATGAGCTTGAGCGAAGATGGAGGTTGTAGCGGAATCAGTGTCGGCGGTTAGACCGATGCAGTAAGTCTTGTATGAGGTTGTGAGAGGAAGATCCGAGGGGAAACAATTGTCTTTAGATGTATGGTTCAGAGTAAAACCGAGATGATAAGAGTGAGATTGCGTGTTTGCATATCTTATCAACTGTGGTTTTTGACCAGTATTTATCAATCTCCATGGATCGTAAGTTATGATCCATGTAGATGTAGATCTATGTACATAAACATATATGGGTCAGGAATATAAAGCTAAATACATGTGTGTCGGTAATAGATACGAGAAAACTATAACCTGCATTTGAGACATAGTCATCTGCTGGAATGCTAGTGTGAAATAAACGCTAATGCGCATTAAACTTTCGGTGAATGATGTATTGATAACAGTGATATAGAATGGGGAATTTGATAGTCAAATTAGCCGGACTTACTAATAAGTTATTCTTGGCATTCCAAGATATATCATATTTCAACAAAAAGAAGACACCCATCGAACCACATTAGGGGGCCAACCTTGACCCCGCAAGCAGTGATTGAGGTGGCCATTTTGGATACCATCAAATGTTCCTTTCACATCTACTGTGACCATGTGTTAGACTCTACGAGTCAATTGAAAAATGTATGAAGTAAAAGTAAAAAGTGTCAATTAATTCCTGGCTGCCATTTCTCTTACTGATACTATCTAGATTATGTACGTCTAGAAAATGGCAAATGCTCTATATGTCCCCAACTTGTCCCCATAGACCAAGCTTCTCATGGTTTGGAACGAAACATCTCTAGTCATAACAGATAGAGTTCTTATTACTACAGTCCAAGCGAAACACCTTTCTTCGAAACAAGTAACTCCAAGCTTTGTAAACCTAACTCCTTAAACTTTATATCTGACATTAATCGCCTTCAAACTATCCACAGTTTGATACCATGCCAGCCACCTTTGGGTTGGACCACACATCCTGAATATCGCACGACAGTGCTGTGGTGAGGTCTGTGGTAGATCTTAGAGGGACTGCACTACATAGATTCCGGGAGAAAATCCGTATTTTCAGCGCTAGAAATGAGAGGCGGCGAGCCATTAGTCTCTGGACTCCCTTACCAAGGTATGATAGGAGAGCAATTGGTCGGTATGACTTTGATAGAGCCCGATTTCACGGATCTGTAATTAGAATTTTAATACTAATTTTAATTCGTGATAACATGAAGGGGTAGTTAATTAAAGACATCAATTTAATAATAGCTTCCCCTATACAATTAGTCGTGTAAAAAGTCATGTAAGGATATGCAAGAGAGTCATGAAGAGAAGGACAAGAACACAGCCATTAATGCGAAGATATTGGCATGAATTGATTACGATTAATTCCGGTTGGCAAAGGCTTCTACTCTGGTATATAATTGATCGGCGTGAGAGAGATTTACTCCTCACGCAACGTCTTCTGTACTTATCCTTTACAATAAATTTGTTTACCCATCTCTTCTTGGGGAAGACCATCCATCCATTTTCTAGTTCTTCATCAGCAGGACCCATGTATAACACCTACCGCAACTATTTGCCCATCCATCTCTTCTCAGAGAAGACCTGTCATTCCTTTGACCCATATTTCATCTTGACTTACCACCTAGATCTTCACTAGGCTATACAACGCACCCTGTGGAACACTGTCAAACCCTCATTCTTGAGAATAGGTGACTCTCTACAGTTCATCATAAGTCTACCTTTCTTCTTGTCGTTATACCATTTTTCAGCCCTCCACTTATCCGGATTGGTTCATTTAAATTATTCATTCTAGTAACAATTGTAAGCAGCCGTTATACAACTGTAATGATTCTAGATAAAAGACATGGAGCCTAATATCATTATCTCGATGATTCGGTCAACCATGCGAAAGTCGTATTTTCAATGTTAAAGCCAATTGATAATATCTTTTTTTCTTTATTTTCGCTTCAGACTTTAATCGCGTATGCGACTATCTATCAATGATACAATATCAGAGATCAATTCCAAAACCAATTACTCAACTTCAAAGTAGAGCACTAATAATTGATGACATCATTGATTTAAAGTATTCGAGGCTACTTATTGCTTTGTGCCCTTTGAAATACATTTTGATGGCCATGAAATTGTGTATGTCCATACTTAGATGTTTTTCATTACTCAATGTAAAAATTAACCCTTTTAGATTAGAAACTCCCATGTGGATCCCACCAAATTGAAGGATTTAGTTATTCAAAAAGTATGTCGGTACCAAGCTAAAGTAACAAATAGAATTGAATTGGAGGTGCATAAGCAAATTGATTGAACAAATCCTGGGAGATGACTTTTATATGGAGATAAAATGCCAATGATTTATTCGGAGGAATTCAATTACCGAATAAACTTGTAGCAGAATTTATTGTTAATCAGTTCTGAATCATGATCATGTAACAAGGATAGAAAGTTATATTACAGCACAACACCAATTTTAAGATTATAAGAAAGAAAGTGTGTGTATAAAGACTCCATCACTCCCGATGCAAACGAGTGAATTCCCCGACTATTCATATCTCTCTAAATAACGCCACATTCTCGTGAAAAGCATCTAATTGTCTTTCATAATCGACATTAATCAAATAGTTCAAGCAGTAGAATGATTCAGCATTGTTAACAAAACTTCAGAATTTCAATAAAAAAAAGTAGCGCCAAAAATGAAGTGCTTCACGCTTGCATCATTTACGGCAATGCTAAGCATCTTAACGAATGCATCTGCTGAAAAATACTATGAATGCAATGGCAAACATATTCTTTATTCCAAAATCGTTGAAAATGCCAATATGGGCTACAAGGCGCTTTTTGGAAATGGTGATAATTTCTTGGCTACGTTGCCTGGACAAAATCCCATAACTGTATATTTTAAACACAAATTCGACTACTATTCCGGTAGGTAAAACTTCAATGCAAAGATTACTTAAAGCTTGTGATCTAACCCCCATCAGATGTTGAATCAGATATAAAAGTTGAATTTTATAGGCCAAATCGTATAATTGCGGTTGAGGCTACCATAGGACCCAGACCTTATCCATGCTTCGCCGTGATTATAGAGTAGTTGTGACCAAGAACGGATAAACATATTTGAAGAGGGTCTCTGTGGAACAGGCTGAATATTTTCAAAAGCTGCTATTATTGTAGCTGTTGTTCTTTTGAAGTTCTAAGCTAAATCTTCATATCCACATTGGACGCAGGACCAGCATAGCCGGCAAGGATCTCTGCGTGCAGGCTCAACTGACTCCAACCATACGAAATTCCACAGAAAGCATAGAAACTGACAAGAAATCCATTATCAAAAACTTGAATTGAATTGAATTGAATAATTTAACGTATCAGGCTAAAGCCCTACACCCAGGAGGCTTGACATGGGTGCGTGTTCCCGGGGGGACCCACAAACACCACTGATGCTGGCTTTATGTGGCCAGAAATTAACATGATCTAATAAAGACAAAAATTTCATCAAAAAATTTTGCTGCCCTGACTTAACGCCTTGCGCCTAGCCAGCTATCTCATAGCAGTTTCCTGTACTATATGTATCCCAGAATCCCTCGGTCATTCAAGTCCTACTTTGCGCCACGTAGCATCCTGTTACGGTAAGGAATCTTTAAGAAGCTATCCATCCCTTTTCTCCCAAAATTGTCCATATACTTGGTGCTATTTCCTTAGTTGTTTTCCGCCATTCATTTAGCGCTGTCCGGCATTCAGAGAAATGCCAAGGGCGTTTTTCTCGGCCACATTTGCACATAAGGTCTATTCCTTCGTGATGGAACTTCTTGTGATACTTGGCAAAATTGCCATGACCAGTCCTAGCCGCTATCAGACGATGATACGCCCATCTTGGAAGAGCGAGTTCTGGTGGTCGTTTTCGCTTCATCAACAAATCTAGGTCTTTGTATCGACTGGGTCTGTTCTCTCTCCACCAAGAATCGACAGTCTCCTCAGCAAGATCTCTAAGATATCGATTTAGAGCTGCGAAAGTGTATACTTGTCCTTAATTTATTCTTGAGTTGAACGTTGCATTTGAGACCAACGGAAAATCTTTCAAAGCTGATCTAGCCATTTTATCTGCATAGATGTTCCCCATAATACCAGAATGGCCAGGGATCCATCGGATCTCTACTAACTCGTTTGATTGTAGGAGAGTTGTAACTTTGTCGACTGTAGCTTGGGACGACTTACTTCATCCTGTTTTGAGGCAGCGGATAGCTTCAGAGTTATCGAGGAGCATCTTAATAGGGCAACCTCCTGCAAGAGACACAGCTGATTCAAGGGCTTTTTGAGCGCCCACAAGTTCTGCGTCGTACGCTTCTGCTCCTAGAACTATTCCAGCAGCGCTACCAACCAGTCTGCTTCCTTTATATAGGGCGTATACCTGTGCATATATCGCTGGGTTGATTGAAGAGCCATCTGAATAGGCACATACAGTCTCTTTCGGGAGATTTTCTATCCATATCTTCGCGCACTCCGACTCATTCTACCTACCGAGACCCGGTGAGAACTTGGTAGGGTAGGTTGATGAATAAGGAAATTTTCCGGGACCTTCAGTGATTGGTACATTTATAGCACTATTCTGGAGTCGTGTCATATAGCGCTCTGGAACAGTGATAGGTCGGGCTTTCTGGCCTGTTCGGATCTCGAGACGCTTTATAACATTGATTGGTAGCTCCCTGGCCCTCAGTGATAGAGGGTGCCATACGTCCAGTCATTGGATGCGCGCTGCTGACCGAAGTTACCTCTGATCCAAAAGGATTGCTGCCGGTGGAATACCTGATTCTCTTCGGAGAGACGAGTTAGGGGTAGTGCGCCAAGCAGGTAGTGCCGCTCTGACTGCCATTAACATTGTTCTGTCCAACAGATCTGTATGCCAGCCAACTCCGGTGCCAACTTTCTTGTCTCGCCGCATGGTAATTCGGGCTAGGCCAGGCCACCATGCCTCCGCTCCATACAGTGCCGCACTTAGGACACAGGCGTGAACAGCTTTAGCCATTGGTCCTGGTGCTATGCCTCGCTGAACCATATTAATACGCCGTATGAACTATGTTAAACGCTGTGCTTTCCCGCACCATTCTTGCACGTGCTGCTTAAATTTAAACTGGGAGTCAAGCCATACTCCAAGCCATCTCACGTGTTGGGATGGGGAGATATTGAGACCTTTCACCTGGATTGCAAGACCTGACGTGTCCAACTTTTTTCTTGGTCCGCCACCTATTATTAAAAGCTCAGACTTAACCAAATCGAAGTTGATCTTGTGCTCATCTGCCTGCTGAACGAGTTTATCTACTTCTATCTGAGCCGATGAGACAGCTTCAGCGGCAGTGCGTCCTATTCCGAGGGATGCAATATCGTCGGCATTTCCGAATCTTTTTCCTTTCCCATCTTGAACTAAAATGGCAATGTATAGGAGGAAAAGAAGTGGCGTTAGAGGTGAGCCCTGAGGTACTCCGCACTCCACTACTTTTTCGCATGTTATTCCCTCCCGGTGACGAACACGAATACTCAAAAACTTGAATGATGTTGTGGTTGTGAGCTGTGAGGTGTATGTGTTGGAAATATCGCGCAATGTAATGGGCGCAATATTCATGGAACGAAAGTAGAAGTTGACTTAAAGAGTGTCATGTTCGGATTACAGCTAAAAGTGTGGGAAGTGTGCGCTACAAGTACAAGTGTGAGCGACACAGAGCCTAAGCCATAGCATAAACGAGTGTGGCGCCATCTAGGCGTAAAAAACCCCCAATAACCTCCTTGCGCCCACGTCATACAGCCGTTCATATGTCCAATAGGTAGCCTGAAGCGCTATCATATTGCCCATTCCAACCTCTTAAATACACACGAGATCGTGTCGGGAACCTAGACGAAATGGAGGGCCCGTACGTCCACAACACTCCGTGTCTCCATTTCCAACAGTATGGCAATTAGATGACTTTGCTGTCCTTCGATGGAATGGTACGGGTGTTACGTTATGAGAAAAAGAGATAGTCGAGGCCAGGACATACATCACTAGTGTACAGGTTAGGCGAGCATGTACATAGTTTCATTAACGTACTCACAATAACCGGACACAGGTTTTGTTAGACACTGAGGGTCAAATGAAAAATGTAAAGTAAAATTGTATTGATGAAATCTCAGCTACTCAACTCCTCTCCGGCCTTCATGCCAAATAACCATCTTAAACTATTTCGGGGAGAGATTATCTTCTCCTCGTATCCTAAAATTACATATGAAATATATTTCATGTGTTGAAGATCAAAAGATATCAAAGCTCGACTAACGAGATCGATTCTTTCTTAAGCCCCATCATGTCTACAAGTACGACCTGGTACATCCTCATTCCAATGACCACACCTCTCCTCGACTTTCTCTGGCCTCAGTTCGTCACCAAATACACGCCCACGCCTTTATTTATACCCGCAAGAGGAAGCAAAGCGTTGCGCACAAATCTGGGAGACAGTTTTTTGGGATCGACGTGAGAGGGATTAGGACAAGTCTACAAGATGATGCAAAGGAAGGATATAACCTTGAAGGGCGTGAAATTCCGAATTTTGGCAAGGAGTTTTTACGGATTGGGCTTTGAGCGCGCCAAGGCTTCGCTTGCGAGAGTGCAGGCGACACTATAAAAACAAGCAGACGATGGAAGGTGTTGTTATCCGCCTCCTGGTGATGTTCTCTGGTATAGTCAGAGTAGCCTGGGCACCTACTCCACTTGGGAAGGAGACATCTCAGATTACATTTCGCGCAGAGAAATGTTAACGGATAATGGAGGCAAGTCTGCATAACCCAGGCTTCTTGAGACATTCCCCTGGGTGGTTATTTACGGATGAGGATTGACTTGGGGTGAAGAAAAACCGCCACAACTTTGCAGCGGTACTTGCAAATGAAATCCGAGGCATGAGTGCTCCAACTATAATTGAATAATCATTTATGTACTTTTCATTGATATGGTATCATAGCTAGCTAGCTGCATACCCAATTAATATCTGATGCAAAAAAAAAGCAAGACATGTGTATTATGAGGTGTATTTTCTGGAAGTAGGAGCAAGAAAATAAGTCATGTAATTGCAAGCTTTCTTCAACTCACTCAAGGCTTCTCGATATCTTTTTTGGTGTTCTACGAGCACATGTAGCATCCTGTCAAGGCAGACATGCAACCCGTATGTGCTCCTTGTTGTAATCTAACGCTTTTCATCCTCGCATTTCATGGTGAGCAATAGTTGCATAGCACGTGATGCCATGCGGGGGAGAAGGAACAGAATGGCGAAAGCCGTTAGCCAGACCTAAGCGATCTGGCCCACTTGTAGAGGGAGTTATCCCTTCTTTGTGTAGAAATCACAGCCCTTTGGTACAAAAAAAAACAAAAAAAAAACACAAGCCTAACTAGAAAACAAATAATAGCAAGGAACTCAGACATCCTCAACCCAGTTATCTCATATATCGTGACCCATAAACCTCTATCTCATATCTTTCACTAAACGACAAAGCTTCAACACTCCTAACCTTGACAAATGGCTCCATCAGGAAGCCATCAAATTACCGCAGCCCAATGAATACTAGAAAAGCTCCAAGTCTTTGATTATGTCTACATGACTCTTCCGTCGGAACCCGCTCACAGGAGGCCAAGTGTATTTCGCATCGTACATGAGAAAGTTGATGTAGTGGGTGACTCGAAAATAACTGGCCGTCACTTGGCTTTATTTATTTGTAATAAAATGAGAGGAATATTCCCAACTTTACCCCATCACGAATAGTATGAGAGGATGAAGTGTATTCATGAGCTGCAACCATGTACACTAGATCCTGAGTCACACCCCTTTGTAATTGCCAACATCTCATTCGGTGAGCCCTTGATCACTGCAAAGACTCTATGGGTGGAATTGACTTACAATGATCAAAGCTAATATAAACGTGCGAATTAGCATACGCATAGCGGAGCTCAACTTGACCCGACGACCAATCTGGCAGGGCACGGTAATGAAGCATCAGCATGGAACTCTTCAAGCTTGGCAATTTGGTCCATCGCTTGGTCCTTCGTAGTCATAGACTTAGTAGGGACTTGAAATTAACTTCAATTGACCGATCTAGCTTCGTTCCTGTCAAGTATTTCAAGTTGGGAAATTCTAGCAGGAGAATGAAATAACGGTCGGTTCCCATTCCATTTGTTGTCCCCCAAACAAATCTTGATCAGATAATTTCCCCAGGTATTACCCTCAACCAAACAAAGATTATCTCCCTCTCACGATGGAATTAGGGCTGCATGACTCGAATAATCAACGATTTACAAGCAATGTAGGCCGGGCTTGACTCGTCCATTCTTTTGGGAAGCTCGGCATGGAGCAAGAGCCAGATGCTGCGGCGTCCAGTCATTGAAATACACACACTATGAAAGTAGATGAGGTCGGATGTTTGATTACAAAACTGTCTCTTTTCCTGCCATTTTCATCGACCAAAATCTCTAAAGCCACTACTTTGACTCTCGTCAACAGAGACATTTGGGTTGAATACTAGAGGACAAAATCCATCCATCCCCATCACATCAGGCTTTCTCATCCCCTACATCTTCGTTTTGCCATAGATTGCTCTCTGTATCTAGCGTCAGGTCTAATTTCGTGACAAGGAAGCCTCGAAATGAAGTTTTTAAATACTGCTTCGATCGTGGCACTGGCTGGTCTTTCGCCCCTCATGCCCACCGTGTATGGAGCCGAGATGTATGATTGTGGGAATGGTGCCAGATTTACCACTGCGTCAATTATGGAATACACATCACTTGCTACCGCTGGAGGAAAAAGTACTAGCGACCCTACTTTCTCCGGAGAACACATCAAAGGCGCATTTCGATTTAAACGAGTGATAAATAATGGTTAGTTTTCCCCTACTTTCCACTTCGCTTTCGCTAATCATCCATGTCTACGAGCAGTTAATAGATATTTCTTAGTTCAAAGTCTACTTCAATATCCATTCACCCGATTATTCGACGTTACATCAGGTCATAATCAATGTCATATCGTAAATGACTATGCTGAGACCTCATGACGGTGCTATGAATTGTATCCAGGCTGGATTTATCGTCTCAAGGAACCACTGTGGCTCGGCCATCTTGTACATTTCTATGCTCACCTTGCGGCACAAACAGGACATGGGGACTAACTAGACTTGATATGAAGGAATTGAATGTTGTTGAAACAAGGATGGGCACCTGGAGCTTCACGTGATTGTATATAATTTTTTTATAAACCATTGAATGTGCGTATTGCTGTCTAGCTCTGATACACAACTGAAGCTGTGTCAACATGTAGGATGACTCTTTTGAAGGTAGAGACAATCATACTCTAAAATTCAATCCCAAATACCACTTTGAGCTATACTTGCTTGCACAAACAGGCCACCCTCCACCGTAAGTTCTCGCCAAAGCGATGTTTCAAAGTCTATGATTTTTCAAGCATGTCTTTGTCATCAACAAAGATAAGCACCGGGAGAAAGACGGCTGTTTTCTGCTGCATTCCAACCAGCGATCCCCCATATCGAGTAAGAGGTGTGTCTACGATAGCTAGAATCTACTTGGTAGACCGGGTCAGGTGGTATACCACTGTACCATACAGCCATGGAGATACCAAACTCCGAGTGCGAGCGAAAGTACAAATCGAGGTTGCTCCCCCCCCATCTTAGGTCGGAATCTGGGTGGCTAGGCGCCCAACTCATTTCTTACTGTATTCTGATAGTTCAATTTGCCAAGTACTATTGATCATTACACTATCTGGAGCATGGGGGCTTTTATTTAAGGATTATCTATAACATTAATAGAAATACAAGCTAAACCGAGTCTCATGCTCGGTACACATGTAGACTATCACAGTCACGATTTAAAAATTAGCTATATAATATCACATTGAAATATACCAAAACAATCCAGTCCCTCCCCTGGAAGCTCTCCTCCTATACCATCATCACCAATGGTAGATATTTCTAATCGTGCAAGGCTTTCAGAGTCTGTTTGGAACACCAATTCAACTACCACACCAACCAAAATTATTTATACTGTCAGACCACTTAAACTTTCATCCAAAATTGATCTTTTCAGTAGTGACCCAATTACTTCTACAGATTTTGGGGCAAATCACCTCTTCAATAAAACACCATTTTTTGAACTTCCTCGGAAACGAAGTATTTCATCTGCCAATACCACTGCATCACGGCCGTGCAAAATTGTCAAAATCTCTGCCCCCTGCACTATCAAACACACTTTTGATACTGCCATCTTCGAGGCAAAAGATCTACTTGTTCAGGCATATGGACTTACTGTGGAAAAAAGCTAACAAGAAGTTGTCCTAGATATGATCCAAGTTTTTCGCACCTTTATTCAAGAGGGAAGGGTGTTAACCACTAGGCCATCAGACCAATACATCCAGTCTGACCCTCAAATAACTCCTGAGACTATTCCTGAGGTCCCAACTGCTCCAACATATGCCCAAAATCTGAAAGGTGTCCCTGAGGCTCCTAACTCAATGGCAGCATTTATTAAACCAACCATGAAAGTACTTGGCAGAAAGAACCTCATCCAAGCCACACCAGAACCAGAGCTGAACCCTCAACCAAAAACAACATCTGCTGCCACGGCACCAAATACTATTATTCCTATTGAAACTGCAAAAATAATCCACCCAATCACTGTAGCCTACCATGCTGACTCAGAGAATGTCATAACTGTTGTTATTTATGCGACAGTGGAGTTAAGAGTATACTGCATACCAGCTATATATTCAGCTGCGTGTGGATACTTGCTCTCGAAATCAGATTCCTTATAATATAAATGTATATATATATATATATATATATATGTAATTTATTGTGTGTATTATAACTACAACTATTGGTGCTTGTCTTCTTATTCTTACAATTATCTACACACTTCACACTTACGGAAAGTGTGGAATTCTAAGCGAGATACGTGATACAATTACAGATTTATCGCATGACTTTCAACAATAACAATGGTTACTAAGGCCGGCTGCAGACTACCTAGCTATGCAGCATTTGATGTTAGGGAAAGAATTAATAAGATCCTAGGAAAACACGCCATCTCTAGGGTCCATACCTCACCAAAGGGAAATCTTGTTCTCAGTTGCATGGACTCCACTCCAGCTGAGCTGATCTCAGACCAGGAGAAATGGGACGGAGAATTTGCTGGATGACCTATAAAACAGGCTCAAAAAGTCAATAATTGGCCGAAGCTTGTTGTACATGGTGTAGTCACTTGTATACCTATTAACCAACTTAACAACGAGATTGAGACATTCAACAAAGGCATCAAAACCCAAAGTGAACCAAGATGGCGGACTAGATCACCTGAAAATATGACTAGGGCATCAGTGGCATTTCGTGTCACTAATGAAGAAGAGAAGACCCGACGAACAAAGTCTAGGGTTCTGATTGGAGGCCAACTACTGAAGGTTGTCAATTTTCAACAGTCCACCCAGAAAACCCAATGCCAAAAATACCTTACATATGGCTATCACTCCTCGACCTGTCAAAAAGCGCCAATGTGTGCCATATTTCTGAGAGGAAATTTTACCAACAACCATAAATGTGCCACTTGCAGCTCAACACAAAGTTGTGTCCACCATGCAGTTCAATGTGCTAACTTGTTATGGCCAGGCATCCTTGAAGAGGTTTCAAGGAGAAGGTTCTGAGGAAAAGGTGATATGAGAAGGGTTTTAAGAAAGGTTTTGGGAAAAGATTTACTGAGAAGGTTTCCGAGAAAACTCTGACAGTTAGAGATGGAGGGGCTGGCGTCATGACGACATTTGTCATTTGTCATAGTCTTAGTTGAGTTCAAGTACTATCTCGAGTTAGACTTAAGGAAGCTGGAGCTGCCACATAGTAGCTCTCCAGCTTCTCAATCTTTCATTCTTTTGATCTTTAATCTTGCAATCTAGATTTACATAATGTTATAATCGTATATTCTCACAGTCCGATATTCTCAGTCTTTCGTTATTTGTTACATTCTTCGTACTTTTGTTCACCCTGAGTTATCATTCTTGATCGCCTGCTCGGCAACTCGACTTCGTGACTTCGTGTCTTTCGACTATTCTGTGGTTCCACAACCTTAGACTAACTGGCACCTCGCCACTCGAATTATATCTAAGTATCCTTCGTTAGCAACTGTAATCCTAACAGTTATTAATACCTTACCTTCGGCAGACGGCGATCCCCAGTATCCTTAGCGCACGCCGTAACATAACTGCAGATCAAATACTCATATGGCTTCCCAAAGAACAGACTGTGACTGCTACAAAGCTATATCATGCTAGATATACTGAAAATCTGCCAACATAACACTGCTAGGGGTCGAGAGATCCTGCAGTCCTTCCTTGAGGTTGCCCTCAAGGAAGAGTAAGATTTGATTTTTGTTCAGGAGCCATACACATTCTATCACAACTCAACACACTCATATTTACCAACTTACCACTCAGCCTTCCAACTCATACCACCACTTCCCACCACCAATCTGAGGCCTAGGGTCCTGACCTATGTCAAAAATTCTAGCCATCTTCAAGTATCTCCTAGGTATGACCTGGTCTCTGACCCTGATTTCCATATATTAGAGGTAGAATTATCAACTGAATCATTTTATGTGATTCATATCTACAATGTGAAGCCAACATCTCACTACTCAAATCAACTCACAGCGGAAAGTTTCTTGGATCTACAACTGATACTTGACAAGCCATTTCTATTTCTGGGTGATTTTAACTTGCACCACTTATACTGGAACCCAATGGCTCAGAACAATATACCTCTAGCAAATCAATTGGTCAAGTAACTAGATGAAGTAAATGCCTAGCTTCTAAATAGACCATCAATTATAGAGCAGTTTGGTGGAACATTTCACAGAGCTAACTCCAAGGAAACCTCCATCATAGATCTCGCATTTGCAGTAGGAATTCGACAACTAAGATGGAGCAACTGGAAGTACGGAGAATCCACTGGATTAGATCATGAGGTGATCACAATTCAAACAGGCCTACCAACAGCAAGTCATGAATCGCCCCTCGATAATTACAGCCACATTAATTCACTACCATTGAAGTTTAATGTCAACAGGGCAGACTGGAGCTTGTTCAAGGAAAAACTTCTTCTGATGCAGTCTCAATTACAGAAACAGCTAGATGAAGCCATTGACAGTAGTGATATAGAACTTATTGCATCTACTTTACAAGATTTGGTGCTCAGTGCAGCCCAGCAGTCAATTTCAAAGCTGAATATTTCAGCCAGGTCAAAGCCCTGGTGGACCAAGGTGTTGTAATTAAGGCAGCAACATGACTGCAGTAGACAAATAGTATATATTAGAATAATATGCACTAGCGCCATGAGATATGATTAACCCATATCATCACTCACTGGCATGAATAGTAATTAGCCAACAGATGCCTGTCAGCATACATTGGCTTCAGGATCTCCAACAACCTTCCCATTTGGGTTAGATTAGGAGGTATGTTGGAGTTCACACTAGTGTGCGGAAAACCCCGCTTTCATGTATATAGAGGGACTTCTCGCCACACATATAGAATTATAGCAATTTCTTTACAATTAATTATCCATTAAAAATCAGTAGACTTTGTCGTACATTAAACAAACTCGTCATGACTCTAACTTATCCTCATACTTGGTATGTCATTCTTACAATTTCCGGAATCATTCTAATTCAAGGAGCTCACTTTACTGCGACAGAGGTTTCACAAACTACGACGCCAACAGAAGCTGAGAACAGGAACTTGGAATTGGAAAGAGGCAAGGGCGGCCAGAAACAAGTATTTTCAACATATTTAGCATACCAAAAAAGAGCATTGGATCAACTTTCTCGCGTCTGCTAAGGATAAGACAGTCTTCACAGCTTGTAACTACTCAATGCCTGATTTGCATCAGTCTCGAGTCATCCCAACACTTTTCTACACACCAGATCAGCAAAGCCATGCAGTTCAAGCTATCACCTTCCCTGACAAATGTAAACCCTTTGCTGACACACTATTTCCACA